TGCTACGCCTGTGACTTGTGGGACGCCTGCAGCTTGGGAAATAGCTTTGCTTTTTTGGATCAAGAGTTTGGCTGCTGTTAAAGGCCAGGGAAAGCTGATGTAACAGCAGGAAGTTCATTGCGTTGCTGTTGTCCCCTTCCAGCGTCTGAAGAGCGTGGCCGTTGGCGGCAGGTGGCACTGCAAGCAAGACGTGCAGGGCCTGTGCCCGGGAGCAGAAGGCATCTCTGCATGGGTTTGCAGTGAGCAACCCGAGCTGCTGTGGTGCTGGAAGGCTCTGGGGAGGTGAGCGTGGCACTAGATGTTTCCCCGGCTGCAGCGGGCCGGGCGGCTCTGGCAGTCCGTGTGCCTCCGTCCGTACGCTTGCTCTGCCCGAGCCCCCTGGCCATGTCCCTGGCGTTGTCAAGCTCTGCGGGTCCCGGCGTGTGGCTCGCACCAGGCGCTGCTGGAAGGCTTTTTGCAGGGGAGGGCTGTGGGATCTGCAGCCCTGAGCAAGCCCCCGCTATCGGGTGCATTTTAGCAGGAAGGGCTCCAGCCTGGATTTTCCCTGACCTGCTCCCTTTACCTCTTCCCCGTCTTTTTCTCTGTGTGATCAGTGTCCCCTGCCTGCACCCAGCCAGCAGCAGCTCTTCTTTCTCTACATCCCTGCAACAGGCTCCCTTTGTCTTTTGCTATTTGAGTTTCTTCCCGGCAGCTGAAATCGCTTCTGCATCTGAATTACTTTGGGCTTGCAAGAGCTTTAGTGCAAAGACTGGATTTCTGCGCAGTGCCAAGCACTCTTTGCTCTCTGTGCTTAATAAATAACGTGGGACCCTGATCAAAACCCCTCCTCTGCATGAAATTCCTGATGTGGGGAGAAATTGGGTGGGGATGCATTGCTTTAGCTCAGTGTCTTCATTCCCCATTTCTGCTGAACTCCGGCCAGGTCTGCCTCTTGCAAAGTTTGGCGCCGGGTTGTCCTCACCGTGCAGCGCCTCTGAATAAATATGTGGTGGGGAAAGCCCGGCTCCGCGCGGTGCTCGGCGATGGAGAGGCGCGTCTCAAAGCCTCGAGCGTAGCGAGGCGTTTGCCCTGGTAAGCACCAGGCACATTGCTTTGGGATGAAACCTCAGGGTTTGGGGATGAAGCACAAACTCCGGAGGCTGTGGGGGAGCGTGGCTGCAGAGAAAACCCTGATGCTCGTCGGGTCGATTTATGTACTTTGGTTAAGAGAGCAATTTACAGGACCAGAGCCTAAGTGGGGCAATTTGCAGGACTCCAGCTGGGCTGTGCTGATGCTCCCTCCCGTTCTCCGCAGGGGAGAAAAACTCACCAAAATAAGCCTCAGGACCCCCCATTCCCACCCTCCTCCCTGGAGGCGTGGGCTGGGGGGTACCATGAATGTCACCCCCAGGGTCACCTGCTGCGTGTCCCCACCAAACGCAGGGCTTTCACCCCTCCTTTCTGCTTCCCCCTCTCCATGCCAATTAAAATCCTGCCTGTTCCCAGGTGTCCGCCAGGTTACGTTGTCCATGGCACAGCTGGGATGGTGTTCTGCACTGTTCTCTGGGGTTTTTTTTTCCTTTTTTTTTCCTCTCTCCTCCTCATGCTGCCTCTGCTTTCCCACCCGCTGCGGCTGTTACGAAAGGAGCTGCTGGGAGCCATGATCCCATGTCAGGCACAGTCCAAGCCAGGCCCCGAAACGCAGTGGCGGAGCTGTTTTGGGGATGATGTCGCTTAAAACTTCCCAAGGATGCTCAAGGCAGCCGGGAGACCTGAGCTGCTGTGGGGCTGTTGGGGGGCACCTGGCGAGGAGTGGGCGAGGCACTGGAGCCGTGCCGTAAAACCTTAATGAGGTCAGAGCCATAGAAACTTCAATAAATCCCATCTGTGTTTGGAAAGCCGCAGAACGATGGGAGAAACTTCCCATCCCTTGGTAACTAAGGAAGGTATTAAATAACAGCTCCGTGGGGACAAACATTTTCAAGCCAGGAGAGGCAGATAACCTGCACACGGAGGCTTTAAAGAGCTCGCTGAGCCTTGGCACAAGGGGAGTTTCTGGAAAAGCAGAAAATTTCTGACACTCTCTCGATAGCGAGCAGGCAAGTGGCATAGCCATGGGCCGGGCAGTCTGACGTCCGTCGCCACGCGAGTGAGTTTGAAGTGGGGAGCGCATCCATCAGCAATCCTTTTCTTGATTTGAGCCTCTTAAAAATTGATGGCTGGCGTCACAGCCCGATTTAGAAATGGCCCATCTTCAGGTGCCGCCCGAGAGCTCACTCCTCCCGTCACCTCCGGTGCCCCCTCCAGACACCCGTGCGTCTCGCAGGGACCCGCGGGGCGAAACCTCACACGCCACGGTTAGGAACGGGCTTGGCATAGTTTAGCATAGTTTTGAAGAAAATAGACCCAATCGGACAAATGGGATTTTATTCTTCAAGGTTTTCCTGTTCAGGGTAACGAGATCTCTGCTCTAGACTTCTGTCGAGTGTTTAAGCTGCGTGAGGTTTTGATTAAAGGAGTAGCTGCACAGGGACCTGGGCTGACAACGCCTGGCTCCTGATGGATGTGTATCTCTTGGTTCATTTATTTTTAATTTCCCATCCTTTTCTTCTTCTTTGGAGACTAGAGGATTCTGCCAAGTGGATAAGAAGTGCTGGTGCTGGCGGGAGGGGGGAGCCTGCAGGCGCTGGCAGCCTGCTGTCACCCACCTCTGACCACTTCTTGCTAAACTGGGAGAAAGGCGCCTGGCCCAGAACCTCCCCAGTGCTGCCGGGAAGGGGCCAGGAGCTCGGGAGCTGTCGGGATCAAACCTCAGCAAGCCAAACCTCGAGAAACCTTCTGGAAGCAGGAGAAAAATGCCTGATGCTGGGGGATTTCAGCAGCTCTCCCTGTCTGTCTTCCCGAAGGGCAGGACTGAGGGTTGGTTGGTGGCGGTGCGTTAGCAGCCTTGCTGGGGACAGGCAATTGCAGGGTGTGAAATGGCTGTGCCAGGGCTGCAGCCTCGCGGGGAGGATGCCTCGGTTAGCTGAAGTTTACAGGGTTAGGAGATGAACAAATTGAAGTGGTTTAATGGTCTTTTCCTGGCTTTCAAACTCTGCAAACCTGCGAGAGTTTTGTGGGCTCCCCTGCAAACCTCTGCCTGCCTGCAGCCGTGGGTGAGAGCAGAAAAACAGCCCTCCACCGGCTTCTGGAAAGTGCTTTTAGATCTGCCGTAGGAGCCACGGCACAGCGCCGATGATTATCTGCTTACAACAGATGCTGTATCAATGGCGGGGCTTCAAGCTACGCTGCAAGGCAATTGACTGCAGAAAGCGTTTCTTTATTAGGGTAAAGCTGCGCTTGCAGCAAGGCTCAGATTTGCTCTTACATCTCTGGTCTTAAAATGTCACCACCAGCTCTGATGCCTTTCATCCTTTGTGCAGGCAGAAAACGCACATTATTCGTAATTGGACTCTACCAGGCAGCAACAGCCATTTTCATTTCCTACCATGCCTGAGAAAGAGCGAGGATTTGCTTTGCTTCCCCCCCTCCCACCTCTAAACAGCATTTAGTGGCAATTTTATTCCAAGTGACTTGGTAACGCTCCCTATCAGGCGGTGAGTTGCAGCGATGCCGTAACGTGTGCGGCGAGCGGACGGCATCGATTCTTCAGCCGTCTCGTAACGGAGTGAGTCCTGCCCGGGTGTGTAACACTGTGCCTGTTTGGATCCTAAATTTAGCTTTTCCAGCATGTC